TATATTTATAATATATATTTATAATTATAATAATTATGAAATATAATTATATATTTCAAAATATATATTCAAGATATATTCAAAATATAATTATATATTTTAAAACATTAAAAATATATATAATTATAATATACGAAAAATTATTATATAATTATTAAAATATATATAAAAAATAATATATATGAAAAATAATAATATTTTTAATAATATATATACGAAAATATTAAATATTAAAAATAAAAATATTTTTAATAATAATATTTTTAGTCATATATATATTATTATTAAAAAGTAATAGTATTTTTAAAATGTGTTGTTATAATAAAATATAAATTATTATTGTTTAATGATTACTTATAATTGATTATGTTTTGGTAATATATTGCAGGCGCCAGTTGAGGATTTTGGAGAAGATAATGTTGATTATTGGCCTTTTTTCAGAACAGATGAGATATTTGATAGTCTTAAAAAAGCTATTAACTATGCAGTCGGTATGGCAACTATATGTGGTTTTGAACTAATTATTTCAAAGCACTCAAAGGGAGGAACATTGAGGATTCTGAAGTGTAACCGAGGGGAACGTTATCGAGGTAATAAAATATCCAATCTTGTTAATGCTGTCCTGAGAAAGTCGAAAACAAAATTTACCGGATGCCTGTTTGAGATGAAATTGAAAAAAGTGGCCGGTACGAAAGATTCCTGGAGTGTATGTTTTCCTCTGGATGACCGGAAGGGATACCATAATCATCCGATGGTTTTGTATCCCGAGGGTCATCGACAGTTCAGCGGATTGAGTGAAAAGGCGAGACAGATCGTCCGTGACATGACAGCTGCCCAGGCAAGACCGGCGGTAATATTGGCAGCGATACACGAGAAATATCCGACTGACAACGCGGTTCGTCAACAGGTTTACAACTATAGGGCTAGAATGCGATCAGAGAGTTTCGAGGGTAGAGATGTGACTTTCCAGCTTATGCATCTGGCTAGCCGGGCTAATTACATAGTTTTCACCGATTCTGATAAAGACAAACACACATTGACACGTGTGTTCATGTCGCATCCCCAGTCAGCCCTTCTCTTTCAGACATATTATTGGTACGTCGGTATAGATTCGACGTACAAAACCAACAGGAACGTTAATTTATAAATAACAATTTAGTACGAATCTTAATTATTATTGTCTGAGTATGTACGTTTTTTTATTCTTTGTTTGATTTTGTTGCCTTCATTTGCACAGGTACAAGATGCCGCTTGTGGAAATAATAGGGATGACGCCGTGCAACAAGAATTTCTTGATTGCATATGCAATTGTGAAGGACGAGAGCCAGAACAGCTACGACTGGGTTCTGAAGCGGTTGAGAGATCTGATTGGGTCTGATGTACATCCTTCAGTCATTGTCACTGACAGGGAGATGGGGTTGATGTATCCTATTATGACTAATTTTCCGATGTCTGCCCATCTTCTTTGCACGTGGCACATCAACAAGGATGTGGAACAGAGGGTCTATAAAATCACCCACAAAAATAGTCAATTCGCTGAGATGTTCACGCGTGGTCGGTGGAAGAAGATCATTGAAGCGAGCACGGTGGTCGAGTACGGCACTGCCGTGAAGGACATGCAACTTCGGTACAATAAGTTCCCTCTTGTTATACAGTACGTAGAGGATACGTGGTTAGTC